GACAAATATTATATGGAGGATTTATTTTAAAGGTTACAGAATTGAAGGAGATTTGTAATTAATACAAGTCTTCATATTTATATCTTTTATAGATGTATTTACTACATTTCCTTTCAAAGTAGTCCCCCGTAAAACTTAGATGGCGGCAATAAGAGGTTGTGAAAATGCTTAGAGAATTCTTTTTCAAATTCTTTCCTGTGTAGAACCTACGCAATTAAAGTTTCTGTGAAACTTTACAAGTAGCTGATGAATATTGTACAACAGTCAATTGAATCTCGCCTGAGGCCACTTAAGAGAAACATCGCACAATATGTGCCTGCCAGTCTAAGTATGTTAGTCAACCATTCCATATTTAGCCTAGAAATGCTGTTCTACTTAGTCAACAGAATTTTCTGCGGTTTAGAAAAGGTGTATGAATATGCACATCATCACTAACTTCTGTACAAGATAATTAAACAAATGGAAAATTATATCATAACCCAGGAAAAATAAGATAGGCATCAGTATAATAATGTTGACTATACAAGATTGAGTTATGATGCTGTGAGTAACTGGATGCCAAGATTTAATATGCACCTCTCATCCTTTTCAAAATATGGTGTATTGTATCATAATTTTGTGAGAAATTATTTTTCCATCCCAATACCTTGGCTTGCATCCTATGTCATTGCACAAAATGTAGATGTTTATTTTCTCCTTCCTATATAGTAATGGCTTTTTGAAAATTTGCAGAAATTATAGGGTTCTGACATGTTTGTGTTAAACGATTGTGCACATTTAATTTGAAGTAGAAATACAGGGGCTTTGGGAAGGTTTATTTTTATAAATATATATATGAATGCTTATTTTATGAAAATCAGAGTGGAGTTCAAGGCTTTAAGTATGAAACCATTTTTTTTTTTTCTTTTCTTTTTTTTCCTAAACTCAAAAAAATTACCAGTACTACTTTCCTTTAGAAAAATTGACAAAGCATATGATATATTGACCTAGTTTTATAAGTGTTAAAAACTAAGGAAATTTTTTATGAGAATGTGCCACAATGCTGGAGACATTGTGGTAGCTCTAGATGACTTTGGCAATTGCTTGAGGTGTTATAATTCTTGAGGTGTTCAGGAAAAGTTCCTTACTTGGAATACATATATGGTGTTAGAATGTTTTACAATTGATGTCCTGCAGATAATGTCAGTATGCATGTGCAAGGTCTAAATGTCTGATATGAGATTTCAGTGGTAAAGAATATTTTGGAAAAGTTGTTGTCCATTAAATAGTTGATTAAATTATTGTATTTCAGTTTCCTTTCTAAAAAGATATATTTTGCCTATGGCACAAACCATTTTTGCTGTCCACTGTAGAATTGTGCGATCAGGTAGTAAATTGGGCCATACTGCCCACACAGGTCAGTATGGCTCAATTTCCCAATTTCCTTTTTTTACTGGTACTGTTATGATTATATTAACCCCTACAATCCAGATGATGTTACTGTCCCATCATGGAAAAATCTGGGTCGAGAGCTGGGTGACGGTGAACATGCCATCATCGGGCAAAATGGCCATGGGCCAGATGTTGCAAACCTGCTGTCATGAGCGAAGGCCAGGGTGACAGAAAAGACTCGCCACGAGTGCACAAACCTCGAGCAGTGTGATTTGACTCATTTGGCACTTAGAAGGGGCTTTAGCATTCTTCCCATCAATAAACGAATGAGGAATGTAATGTGTGTAAGCTGTGAATGGAAGAGCTCCCGTTCCAGGGATGATGCCATTTCCATACTGTGCACCATACTCCTGGCCGCTATGACTGGCAGCACAGGTTGTATTACGGAAAAATTGAAAATTATTAAAAATGAGAAGAGACAACCAAATGTTCCATACTTTTTTTTTTTCTCACTTGTACTAAGACGCACATGGACACTGGAAAATGGCTAAAATGCTAAAAAAGTTAACACAATAACTTTGCAAAGGGAAGGCATGGTGTCGTGTCACCACTCATGGGTGTTCACATGCCCAGGATGTTGGCTACTAACGTAACCCTCTGCCTGTATTATCGACACCATGATTTCCATGATGCAACCAGATCCAATGGGTTAAAATACTAATAAATTAATAACTTCAAAGTTTTCAAGAATCAAGGAAAAGGGTAAACAGATGAGATAGGATTATTACCCTATTCCTTAGTGATTAAACACTTGCAAAACCACCTGTGTAAACCGTTCACCTTCCCGCTTAGGAGATGGAGACTGAGGCCCAGTGTAGGAGATTACCCCAGCCTTAGGCCTCGGTCCCCCCTCCCCGATTCCATGCTCATCGTTATGGGGGGCTTAGGAGACCGGGACTGATGCCCAAGGTAGGGAATCACCCTTACCGTGGGCCTCAGCCCTCACCTCAACTAATTTTGCATGGACTTTTCTTCTCCATACTTTTTCTTTCTCCTCTTCATCTCTTTCTATCCACATCCTAAAGTGTGAGAGCCATGTCGAAAGGATGAAAGACTGGCTCTGTCAGTCCTTTATGGCCTTTGTACTGTTATTTCCTCTTTACCCTTTTCACTACCATGGTAACGTACAGCGCTCTATAACTTGACATCTAACATATTTTGTCCTAATTGTTAGTTTTTGTACCCTTTATGCCACAATACTTCACCAAATTGCTATATATTGTATATGCCACTAATTACCTTTGATGTTGACACAGTAGAAAATTTCCAATGAATAAATAATTAGGCCACAGCCCTTGCCTCAACTAATTTTTACATGGTCTTTTCTTCTTCCCCTTTCCTTTTCCTTCTCTTTATCCACTTCTGTCCACTTCCTAAGGTGTGAGAGCTGTGCTGAAAGGATGAAAAGCTGGCTTTGTGTCAGTCATGAATGGCCTCCAGGAGCCATGGGCACAGTGTTCCCTTGGTTAATCATGTAACCCTTACCCCTTCCCTTATGGGGACCCTGAGGGGTAGACTCTTCTTTTTTTCCTACTTACTGCAGGCTCACCATGTCCAATAATGTTGTTTTACCCTTGCTAGGGGCATCAAGGCTTCATCAACTGCCTTATTTAAATTTTGATATCATTGGTTTTCCGACCCCTGCCTCTCCTTTGACCACGAACCCAACCACTAATAGTAATACTCCTTCCTCGATGTTTACTGACAACTCTATCCATTCCAGACCACCCACCCAGGTCATTACTCAATCTTCCTCTCCTACATGTGTACCATTCCCTCTTCGTTCCCCATTTTCCTTACCTCTACCACCTGGATCCTCACATGAATCCCTTCTGTTGCAACAGTGTCCTTCTCTGGATCCCTCCCCTCCAGACATTCTTCCTGAAATTTCACCAACTTACCAAACCCCTGTATCTCATTCCATGGATTCTTGAGTTGCTTCTCCAACAGACATCTCTACCTGTATTACCCATTGATTGTTTCATAATAGTTCTTTTGCCAGTTTTCCTTGAACAATGTTCCTATTGCTTCCCCGGCCAATGATGCACTCCATTTCATCCAAGCACCCTATGCCCTTAACCCTTTCCTTTAAAAATCTTCAATTTACTTCATTTACATACCCTCTTTACCTATCATACTATCTTATAACACTATAACCTATAACATCTAACACATTTTTATCCTAATTGTTAACTCTTCTTTACCTTTTTTGACACTACTTTATCATAGTGCTCTATGACCTGTGATGTTGAGCACATTTGTTTCCATTAACTATTAACCAGTCTCTAAGGCCTGTCCACACAAGCAAGTATGATCAGCAGACACATCAGCAGGCAACTGTAAAGGTGAAGTCATAGGCAAGGAAACTATGAAACTAATTGCTTACCAAGTAGTTTGTCTGACATCTCTATTCATGCCTGGTTATGTGCCCACCAATCATGCCCACGTGTGAACAGGCCTTTATAGCTTAGCAGTAAAGGAAGGTGACAGGCAGGTATAATTCTTTCACCATGTCGCTAAGTAAAAATTGAGCCCTGTCCATACACACCAGCAGTGCCTGACAGGCACTTGTTTAACCACATGCTGATGGTGGTGACATGTGCATACATGCCATGGGCAGTGTGTGTTTAATTTAGTAATATTTTTTACACATAGATGGCCTCACATGTACTAAGTCACCAATGAGCCAATCACAAGAACTACTTGTCTCACCTGATTACCCTTTTCCTCGATTTTTTATCATATTTTCTGGTATTTAATACTGCTGTTAGTAATGTCAATAACACTATAATAATTATGATGGTTATAATAAAATTAACATCAATGTTGAAAACATTAATTAAAAAAAACAACATTTTCCTGTAATCTCAAGGAAAGGTGAAAGTAGGGGACTGCTTTGTGGCTAAGCACTGGCAGAGCCAAAGATATACAGAGACATTTAAAAAATAATACTAAAGTGAACACATTTTCCCGGGGGCATTGGGTTAATACTTGGTAAGGCAAAATTGAAGGCCAAATCAACAGTGTCAATGCCCACAGGTGAGCTAAGGGCATCTGCCTGATAGTTTGACCATTTGCTGAAAGATTTCGATAGATAATCCCCCCTGGCACCAGCACCCCCTGTGTTAGTTATTGATTTTCCTTGAAAAAATAACTTATTTGAATATTAAAAAACACTCTGGTTAAATCTGCACAAAAATTCATATTGTCTAAAATTGCCAAGCTTGTGCAAACATAAATAAGATTGTGATTTAAACTCAAAACTGGAGATAAACTTTTACTTGTGAAAATGGTTTGTAGCAAGTACAAGATTTTATTATTTGTAGATCATGGACAGCAGTACCAGGCAAACATTTCCTTCATGGTATTTTTCAACTTTTGAAGATTATTCAAAAGTTACTAATTACACAATTTACTTCAGTATTATCTCATACTATTATAAGTTAAAAATACATATTTTTACATTTATACAGCTGACAGTTTATTAAAAATCACAACCATACACCTTTCAGTAATTTAAGAACAATTACAATTCCTGTAATATGAAACCCCAGTAAAACATTATAAAAAAAATAATTTAATACTGTACAGTCTGCAAGTATAGAAAAGAAAAAAAAAACAAAATTATTGAGATGTCTCAAAACAAATTGCACTGAAAATGACCTAAGCATCATAAGGTGGCAACCCAAAGAGCTCGGGCTTGAAATCTTCTAGCGACTTGAGGACCTGAGTAGCCCCTTTGGTCATTTCCTCTTTCATGCGAGGATCTGGGACCATTACGACCTGCATTCCAGCTGCCACACTTGCTGCTACCCCATTAGGCGCATCCTCAAACACTAAGCACTGGAAAATATCGGGAGCTGTAAGTTTAAGGTATAATTAAGATGTAGGTGGGAGTAACACTCCACTTTTTCAATGGAAATACCAGTGAATTATTTATCATCTTTTCAAGCTGACTACTTGGTACTAACATGCCATATTACTTCTTTCTAAAATTTACTTTTCCTATTTTTAGAGTTAATATTATGATTATTTCATATGTAATATATTTAGCTCTTGGATTATTCATATTCAAATTGATCTATTTATTTATGTATTGATTTTTTTTTGCTGCATCAATATCTAATGTCAGTGGTGTATTCAAAATATAGTGATAGGGTGAGGCTTGGGGGCAAAGACCCCAGGTAAGGGAGGTTTTGGTTCATAAGGCTATGTTTGTGGTTTCCCAGAATGGTTAACAATCAGAACATATAATGTGCCAGACATCAAAGGTCATAGAGCATTACGATAAAGTATTGTGGCGAAAAGGTTAAAATAGAGTTAATGATTAGGACAAAATGTGTTAGATGTCAAAGGTTGTTCAGTGTCGTAGATTAGTATGGTAATGAAAAGGGTAAAGAGGGAAGAGCAAATGGGCCTCAGTCTCCGTCCCCTAAGCCTCCCCCCCAACGACAACAACAAGCAAGGGATGGGGGGGGGATTTCATATTTAAAGTATCATTATCTAATTGCCAAAATAATAACATAATGAAAGGGAAACAAATAAACAGCATCAGGTGTTGACATGCTTCCCTGTCACAAACTCCTTTCACTACCAGGCATGTGATGATGTTTACTTATAGATAACATCTGAATATTACTGCTCCAATTCATGCATTTTGTTTCACATCCTATCATGAGCTTACCTTATTCCATCAACCACAACACAAAAGAAAATCATGTCTTGGAGTAATACAGCTGAATTCATCAAATTTTATATAAGAGGATTTTGGAAGTTCAATGCTTTTTGAATGCCAAGAGGTCAGGCTTGGCAATCAAAATAGTAATATATGCTCTTTTTTGGAAGGAGAAAAAAATAAATATAAAGCAAATCTAAAATACACTTCATACAATATCAATACAACAGATTCGTCTTCACTTACCTTTTCAGGTTTTGGTGTATCAGGAAACCTATTAGCACATACAAGAAACACATCTGGAGCTGGTTTTCCATTTTTCACTTCTGGGTCCGTGGAGGCCAACACCACGTGGCTGAACTTGGACATTAATTCCTTGTGATTGGTTGTCTTGAGCTCAAAACTATCCTGAGCTCCCCCTGATGCTATGGCAATAGGAATGTTGTGTTTATGGAGGTGATATACAAGCTTTTCTGCACCTAGGGGTAAATGTAGAATATTCATATTAATTTACTTTACTGGCACAGAATATCATTAAATGCACAAATGAAATCATATGCTGTGTTATGCAAACAACTGCAATCTAATTACTCAACAAGACTTGACTTCTTATATTTTTTTCCTTGCATATCATGAAAAAGAATACTGAAGATACAGAACATTTGAGTTATTACCTTACCTGACCATATAAAAATCTGATGTTATATATATTTTTTCTTTTCCTTTTTTCTTTTCAGGCAAGAAAAAAGCAGTGTAACTTAAATATTTTTACATCAATAACTGCATGCTACAAAATACAATTTTCTAAGCACAATTACTTCTCTTGTTGCAATAAAATATAACTTCAGATCATTTTCTTCTAGATATAATAGCAATTCTGTTAATGAATTCACTGAATCCTTGCAGTTGAGTAAGTATATTTCATGAAAAGATGATTTCAAGTGATTTACTTAGCATTTAATGATATGTTTTGTTGCTGAGCAAATATATTTGTCAACTATATTATATTCAATACATATATTCAAATATAACATCATCCTACAATGAAATGGCTATATCAATATATATCAAACTTGAGAACAATCAATAATGCTGCATGTGACAAAAACTACAAGAATCACCACCTCTAAGTTCTCCAACGTGCAACTGCTTAGCTAAGGAAAAGCATGCATGCCAAATGATACAATGGGCACAGCCAGAAATATTTTCCATTCTATCCAAAATCATTACCAAAAGACATTTAGCTTTCACCACATGCCCACAAAAGATACAAAACTATATGTTAATCATGCAGGATTTTTTTTTTTTTACAAAACAAATTTCCTTAGTAGTTAACCCCAAGCTGCCGGGCATGGCATGTATGTACATGTTATTGCCCATTGTGTGTGTTGAATTTAGTCATTGTTTTTACATGTAGATGGCTCCACAAGTACTAAGTCACCAATGAGCCAATTACGCAAACTACCAGTCTCACCTGTTTACCCTTTTCCTTGATTTTCGATAATATTTTTAAATATCTAACACTCATGTTTGTAATGTCAGTAACAATATTAATTATAAGGTTTATAACAAAAAGTAACAGTGTCAATATTGAAAGCATTAGAGAAAAAAAAAAATGCTTTCCTGATTTTTCAAGGAAAAGTGAGGACACAAGATCTACTAATTGACTCCTTTGTGGCTAAGCATTGGCAGAGCCATCTACGTGCAGAAACATTTAACCAAGCATTGCCGAAGGGAACGCATCATTTTCCCGTAGACATTGGGTTAAAATATACATATAGTGTATGCCAATACACGTTGCAATTTTCACAATTATTAATAATTCCTTAGTCCCTCCATTCTAATACCAAAGTTTATATTCTTTATTATCAAAATTAAAGAACTGTATCTCACTCACACTCGTACATCAAAATATTTTCATACATGGTTACTGTTCGGTAATAATATCTGCATCCATGAAAACAACTTTCCTAAAATTATGAAAAATTTATTGCTACATGAATCCTTTTGCCTAGTGCTAAGAGAAAAAAAAGAATGACATGCCCTACATACAACCATACAATCCCAACATAAGAACTAAATACAAACAACATCAAAAGCATATCCAAAGCAGAGCAAGGAGAAAACACTGTCCACATCCTAAATACCTTTCATCAATGCAACTGTAGGAAATACATCAAAATAGTGGGAGGCAACTTTTTCTTTGTACTCTTCAGGTGAAATTGGGAGTTTAAAATAAGCACAAAAGGTCTGTGCAACCTCTAATCCTGTGTGCCCCATCTCAGACATAAGTTGCTCCCAAGTTACTGACTGTCCATAAGGTGCAAGAGCTCGATTGTGACATACAATGTACAAGCCAACTGTGTCTGAAATGAACAACATGCTGATGAGCAGTTGCAGTACATCAAATGCAATCATTATAAAAAAATGCATGATGCTTCAAATGCATTTCTTTTCCCACAGCTTTCAGAAAGTCCTTTCTGCCTCAAATCCTGACATTTGTGGTATGTCTACCTTATATCATTCAGTTTCTTCTTCAACTAAACCTCCAAAATTAAGGAAAAGTTCTACATTGTTAGTATGTTACCATTGAAGAAAAAATAGAAGACAAGTTATGATCACAATTACCACAACCACAAAGAACCATGTTTTAACCCACTACAAGACAGGATTCTGCACATTCAAATAATGCACTATGGCACACCTGCAAAACACAAGCCCAAGGAAAATTGCACGGCAAAAACAGTGCCAAGAGAACTACACGAGAGTAATTAGTGGATCTTAATTAGAGCCTGGCCTACCTGGTAGAAGCTGTGCTTGAGGGAAATTCTTTTTATATTCCTCCTCAACCTTGACAAGATATTCTGATGGTGACAATGGCAATTCTAAGGCATTTATGATTCCTTTGGCCAGTTCGGTGCCTACCCGCCCCATGAGAGGCCACTTTATCTCCCACGTATATTCCTTCCCATAAGGACTAACCACAGCCTGAGTGGAAGCTGAGTAAAGCTTCTCAGTGTCTGAAATAATTGTAATCAGATACTGCTCATAATCAAATATGATACAGAGGCACAAACAAACAAAAGATGGTGAAAAAAAAGAAAGTGGTACAGAAGCAAACTCCAGATACAAGTAGACAGTTCAGTAATATAAAGAAAGTAATATAAACCCTTCACATGTTTTTGCTCTTATCTCAACTATAATTTATATGAGTACCATCCAAAAGAGGATGTAAAAGTGAACATTTCTCCCATGGTACCACATCTCAATGACCTAATTACAGGTCATTATAAGTTGCTTTCAAAATCAAAAAGACAAGTGTCAAAACAGATCAATAATAACCCCTTTAAACTTTATCTTACCTACTATTAAAATCCTGTCATCTAATTACCATTTGGTTGAACTGAAAATCACACTGTCTCTCGCCACGACTTTACACTCAAGTATAATTCAGCTTGACTCACTATAGCATTTAGAGTCACAGAAAAGCATGTACATATAACCAAGCACAGATATCAGTTAAACAAGAGTGCATTCAATCCACTTTTCTCGTGTGGTACCATTAGATGTGACTGGCTCCTCAACTTAAAAACAACTTCCCAACTAAAGGCTTGTTTTCCTCCAACAGATGTCAAGATGTTGAAGATATTCCCTTTAATGACCAGCAAAGTAGAACAGGCCACTAGAGCAAAAGCAATGAGATTACTACACTCCAACATATCTAACTAAACCTACTAAGGTTGAGGTTTTGAGATAATTCTAAAGCATTAAGTGAGACTGCTTATAATCCAAGTAGTGTGATGGAGAGTGTGACAAAATTTTCTTATCTGTATCCTTAATTCTTTCTCAAAATTTATAATGCGCAGTAAGTCTAAAGGTTAATATTCCCTGTTATCTATATTAATCATGCAAAATTTTGTAAAACACATACCACCTTTCATGCTGTATACCCACAACAGAGACATCATAAAAGCATAAACAAAGGTTCTCAAAAATCATAAGTCAGCTGTACATATAGCAGTACACATGACAGCATTACTAACAGTTCTCTTCAATGTTTTCTTTTTGTTGTACCTGGCAAAGCTTTTGCATTAGGAAAGATACTATTGTACTGTTCTGCGATTTTGGCAAGGTACTCATCAACTGTCAGAGGCAGCTGGAGGCTGTCAATGATATGTTGGGCAGCCATGTGCCCCTTCATACCCATCAACTGGACCTTAATCTCCCAAGTGTACACCTTGCCATACTGCGAAGCAATCACCTGTGTGGCCTCGGTGTACAGCCTCTCAGTGTCTGTTATGGGAATGGATCAAAACTTCATCAAAACTGTGACTGCCACTTCCTCTACCCTTTCTGTGCTCAGGGTACTGCTTAAAGGAGACTAAGGAATCTAGAATCCTTGCAAGGGTCTACTGACAGAACCTCTGTAAAATACCTTCTGAAAATTAAAACTATAAAAAAATGTTTTGTATTACTGTGTTTTTGCTTCTAAATGCTTTCACCCAGTTATTCCAATAAGCTACATTACATGCAATTATCTGTAAAAGAAGAAGTTAGAAGCTCTTAAAATCAACACTAACCATAAGTATATTTGCTCATTAATTAAGGCCTGTAATTTATCAATTAATTTATCTTAATTAATAATTTATCAATTATTAATTAAGGCCTGTAACATTATCAATTGGTACATCACTAACTTCAATGTAAAACCTTTTTATTGTAAAGTATAAGCTCCATCTGAGTTGTTATTTCCTTTCAATAAGGAAGCCAGATGTAAACAGGATGCATCAATTCAACATTCCATAACACCTAAAGAGACAATATGGTCAAATTTTTTTATCTGGTTAAAGGCCCCCATAAAATTTTCTATAAATATCTGGTAACATTCAGCCTGTAACTTCTTTCCCAAACAGCTGTTGAACCATTCCCCCAAGCAAGCAAGCAGGTTCTATACAAAGCACAGTGAAAAGCTAGAATATGCCTGTACTATAGACAACACACATTGTTCCCTAAGAAGACTGGTGTACCTGGCAACTTTTCTGCATTGGGAAAAAGTTGGTTACACACACTATTCACTTTTTCAAGATACTCGTCTACTGTCAATGGAAGCTGATTTGTCTCTATATTGTACTTTGCATCTTCGGTGGCTGCCAGCCCCATAATCTGGGTCTGCATCTCCCAAGTAAAAGTCTTCCCATATTCTTCTGCAATTATTTCAGCAGCTTGCATGTATATTCGCTCTGTGTCTGTTTGGAAGAATGGTGATTATACAAACTGTATTCAGTATTTGATGTCATCCAGATCAACACAAAAAAAGTTTAAGAAAAAGAAAAGGTTTGGATGAAAAATGAAATGAAATGCCCTCTACAACAATATTACTCAAGAAAATGCATATGCATACAGAAAAGTGGTCTACATTACCAAAATACATTACACAATATTATATTTTTTTGTACTGACAATGGAAAACCCTTCCCAATGCAATGATAAGTAGCTAGGAAAACTAGCCTCCCTAAATAAAAGAAAGAAAAAAAGAAAAAGGAAGCATAACATAACAAAATGAGGAAATAAAAAAACAACCAACTTCCGATCAACAGACGAAAAGAAACAGCCTTCAATAGCGTTAACTTTGTGTCGAGCACATTTATTTGCTTTAACCATTAACATTGAACTTTGGCTAACCTTGAAAATCCACAAAACCACAATCAAGTAAATTGCAACCAGTAGCATAATAGTGACATTTCTACCCTAAGCAATAGCCAACAAAACGACAAGGATTATGTCTAACAATATAACTAATGAACTCTATGGGTGTGAATCTGTATAATAAATTTCTTCATTTTCTTGTTTGCCTTTAATTAATGAAAATTTGTTACAGAAAGGTAACAAAAATCCTTATTTTGATAAAACACAGGCATTTGGGTTATAAAAACAGTTTGCATAATGGCTAATAATCCTCTGCCTATTACCTCAACTAATGATAATAATGATGATGATAATAACAATAAAAATAATAAAATAAAATAATAATAATAATAATAATAATAATAATAATAAATAATAATAAATAATAATAATAATAATAATAATAAATAATAATAATAAATAATATAATAATAATAATAATAATAATAATAATAAATAATAATAATAATAATAATAATAATAATAATAATAATAATAATAATAATAATAATAATAATAATAATAATAATAATAATAATAATAATAATAATAATAATAATAATAATATAATATAATAATAATTAATTATATTATTATTATTATTATTATTATTATTATTATTATTATTATTATTATTATTATTATTATTATTATTATTATTATTATTATTATTATTATTATTATTATTATTATCATCAATAATAATCATAATAATATAATAATATGATAATGATAATGATAATGATATGATAATGATAATGATAATGATAATGATAGTGATAATGATAATGATAATGAATAATAATATTATTATTATGTATAATAATAATAATAAACAATATTAATAACAATATCAATAATAAAATCATTATAAAATCATTATAAAATAACATAAATAAAATAAAATAAATAATAAAATAATTATAAAATAATATAAATTAATTATAAATAATAAAATAACATTAATAATAACATTAATATAATATAATAATAATAATATTAATAATAATTATTATAATAACAAACTAATAAATAACAAAAATAAATATTTTGAATGGGAAACAGCAAAATGTACCGTACACAGACATCAAACTTTTTTTTTCAAATAAAAGAATAAGCCAAATGATCTTATTTCTAATTCAACACCATGTCTCATTAACCCGGGATAACATTAATCTTTTACAAACATTCAATGTCTTTTGACCACACAAGGGAATGTGTATATAAATAAATATATATTACTCTGTTGTAATGCAGGAAGTGCATGAGGTGTAAGGTGCCTCATGATGTAGCAATAAATATTTCAATAATATAACTAAGCTTTAATTTGTTTAACTCATTATTTCTTACCTATAAAAAATAGTTTGAATACATTTAATGGATTCAGATACCTTACTTAAGATAAATGCTGTAAGATAAAAATTAGCAAGTGTAAAGAATTAAAAAAAAATACATTGAATTAACTGAATGTATCAGCTCATCTTCAGAATAAATAATTCTATCTAAAAATTCAAGTTGATTCCAAACATGTATCTATGAGAAGAGACATTTAAGAATTTCTAGTTAGTAACAGCTATGACAATACCGTAGGTTCTTTTCCAGGCTTGTGGAGAAATATGCCAGGATAAATCAGTGATAAAATTTTGTGTACTTGGTCAATCTATGAGGATTGGCTATATATGACTGAAACTTAACAGGGGAAAATTGAAGTAATTATTAAAAGGTAAGCAAATACTGAGTTACAAGATGATGCTGGGAATGTTTCTTATGATCTTTTTTTTTTTTACTGTTGTACATATGCTAATTTTAAATCTCTTTCACAGTGAAATCATTAAAAAGTTGGATTAATATCCTTGTAACACAGTTAATTTATGTTAAAAATAGATAATTTTTTACCCTTAAGAAGCAAAAAAACCAACACCTTCAGTGTTCTGAAAGTTTCAAGTCATGTTAGATTGTAAACTGAAATCTACAAAGTTCACCGAAACACTGAAAAAAGGAAGGTCACCATTACAAACATATTAAGCAAAGACATAATTCACAGAATCACATGACATGCCCATTCACCTCTTCCATAACAGTACCTGGTAAGAATTTGGCTGACGGCATTATCTCCATATGTATCTGTGACACTTGCTTTAAGTAATCCTCAACAGTAAGGTTAATACCAAGGCTGTCAATTATAACCTTAGCACAAACTTCAGCTTTTTGTCCCATCTGAGCCACCTTTAGTTCCCACGTGTATTTTTTACCAAAGGGCTTCAACACACGTTCAGTTGCCAAGGTGTATAGGGCTTCTGTATCTAAAACCACATTAGCATAAAGTGAGATTGTAAACAATGCTTGGTAAAAAACCTACTATCTGCTTATGAAGAAAATATGATATGAAACTATGAATTATTTGATTTGATGTACTGAATCTGGTATCTTTACAACATCCTGGTTTGTCATCCTGATGTGTAATACAGTGTGACACCTTAAATAGTATCATAACTGTATTTTGCATCAGTACTGATCTCTGGAAGGCATAAATAGAGTTATATTCATAACT